CTTGGGCTCGCACGCACGCGCGCCTGGTTTGTGTTCGAGCCACTGGGTCCAGGACTTGAACTGTGGTCGACTACATGGGAGTCCAGTGACATAGCCATTATGCCAACTGCTGGTACCTGTAGTCAACTTCTGACTCATCTTTGTTCCTAATTATTTGATATAAACTCAAAGTAGCTTTATTTTCTAATTAGAAAGACAACAAAAACTCACTGTAAAAAACAAAAACAAAAACAAAACTATGTACCAATTATATTGCATAGTCAGCAATCATCTTCTGTCCTCTACCCAGCACTGTACAACGTTGGTATTTAGAGCTGTTTCTCCGATATGCGTGTTCTGATGTACAACACGCAAGCACAGAAATCACACTGGCACCCATGCTGTTTTGTAGCCTGAATCTTTGACTGAACAATCCACCACAGGCCACTCTTCTCATGTCAGTAAGTGCACACATTCAACACTCCTCCCTTTTTTCAGACCAGTCTCTCTGTCATAATCCTCCTGTCTCAGCCTCTCAGTTGGAACAAGACATGTCACTATGCCTGGCTTTTTAGAAAAACAGTATCTCCCCTTGTCATCCAGGCCAGCCTCAAACTCATGATTTTCCTGTCTCAGTCTCCGTAGGTCGCAAGCCTATAGGCATACTATGCTGTGTTTGGCCTTTCCATTGGACTGGGAATTGAACTCAGGTCTCCCAGGTGGTTCTAGCCTGCAGAACAGTGTCTCAGCAGTGCATCACGTCACTCCTAGGCCTTATCAGTATTTGGATAGCTGTATAGTAACTTTTTTTTTTTTTAAGAGGTTTTTGCCTTAAGGAGTGTGCACTTGGAGAGAGAGAGAAACAGGAACCGTGAGCAGGAAAGAGAGAAATCAGCCCCCAGGGAGGGTTGGTCATGCTGTAATCCCTTCTTCATTCTCCTCCTGGAATCTTGGGCACCTATGCACATGTGCCGAGCTTGATTTTCAAGCCACCAGGTCTGGGACTCAGGTCTGTGGTTGGCCATGTGGGAGTCCAGGGATGTAAATGCTATGCCATCCACTGGCCCCTGTATAGTAACTTTTAAAGCTATTCTAACGAGAGCCAATTAAATTGTCTCCATTTATTTTTCTATTATGAACCTTTGTGTTGATGATTTTTTTTTCCACCCTTGACTGATAATTACTTAAGGGCATATTCCTGTAAGTGTGAATTCTGGGTCATTTCTCCACATTCTTGACAAAACTGTGTATTATCAATTTCTAGTATGAATTGTTGAAAAATGACAGTTTGCTGTTTAGCACTTGATTCCTGGTGAATTTGTTATTATGGGCTTTCCCTATTTTCCTTTTTTTTTTAGGCACACACGCACACATAGCCATTACGCTAACTGCTGGTTCCCCCTATTTTCCTTTTGAAATACTTCTTTTTCTTACTAGTTGTTAGACTAGATTATAAGAAAAACCTTCTCCGGACAGCTTAAAGAAGATGCACAGGTAGGAGAAATGTGGATTAAGTGCTTAAGGAACTTGCACAGGTGAAAGAAATGTTGGTGAGAATGGAAACTGCATGTGGAACAAATAAGCAGTGGGAGAGGCTGTTATCTTTTCCTGATGCAAGTGTCACCAATTCCTCTCCCTCAGTTGTCCCCGGTCACAACATGATGAGTTGCGAGGTGAGCAGTCACAGCCATTGCCATGCCTTGCCCCTAGGTGGCGCTCTTCTCTCCCGCCTGGTCCGTCTGTGGTTGTTAATACTAGATGTCCGGGACAACTGTGACCCTTTGTGAGATGAACCTGATTAGGAAAACAAAGCTGGGTGCAGCTATCTCATCTTTTAACCCCGTAGTAGATTCTGCTGACCCACTTCCTGGGCCGAGGGCAATTTTCCATCTTTTTCCAGAACTCTGTCCTAAGCATATGTATGGGCCTGGCTCTCTGTGCTCCTTCCTCTGGCCCTGGGGTGCAGCTCTGTGGCTTCCTGGCTCCAATGGGTACCCTGTAGTCCTCGGCCTCTCTCATAAAGAACGACCTCACTCTGTTCCTCTGAGAAGTCTCTCTCACACTGGCTGTTTGCTCCCTTACCCCCTGACATTGGTCCTTTCTGTCTAGTTTTGCACATTCATGGTTCAGTTAAGAGGCCGTGGTGTGTCCAGCCCCACCTTCCTCAGAGCGCTTCCATCTCCTGCAGTTTTTCCTCAGGGACTAGGGGAGCCCTGGTGTCTTCCTGCTACCAAGGTTCTTCTCTCCACTGGGTTCCTTCCAAGTTCCTGTGTGCTAAGGGGCAGTGCTTGACCTCATTGCAGAGCAAAAGCGGCTCCTAGACCCCAGCACAGGTAGTGCCCGCTCCAACTACACACTCCTCCCGTGTCCCACGCAGAACGACCTGCGCTAGCAATCTTGGTGCATTGAATGGCAGACAGTGAATGGGTGATCACTGATCAGGCCCCAGCTCAGGGCCTGACACATAGTAGGCATTCAGTACCTGTTGAAGGAATAAATGAACTGGGTTTCGCTTCAACACCTCATTCACAGCTATTTCTAGAACCTTTTGACTAGTCATGTATATCAGAGAAAGAAAGTAAAACACCTGATATAAAGGCAGTAACAGCAGCTCACGTGTCTATCTGCAGTATAACTGTCTTGCTCTCTTACAATTAGCAGGATATTCTCAACCCTTGGAAGAAAAAGGAGCTGTCTAAATATTGCTTCATACAGTTAGGCTAAAATGATCTCAGCAAATATCCAAGGCATACGTTAAGATAGGCGTTAATGAAAGTAGAGTAGCAGTTACCAGTCTACTGGGCTGGGGGAGATTAGTTGTGGAGATTTTGGGGGAGGGGTGACAGAAATGTTCTAGAATAGACTGTATGGATGGTCACTCAGCTCTATGAATATTCTTAAAGATCATTTAATTTTACACTTTAAATGGGTACATTGTATGAATACATGAAAAACATTGAAATAAAACTGTTATTAAAAAATAAGGGCATTTAAACATTAATTTTCACAGCTACAGTAAGTCTTTTGAGTAGGTAACACAGTTTGTAAAAGTCCTCCCCCCACCCCGCCGGTTCCTCCCTTGGCAATCATGGTGCATGCTGCATGGAGTGCTGCTCTGAGGAGTTGTCCAGCAGCCTGTGGGTCAGCCTGGAAGCAAGCACTGGACAAGGATGAAGAGGGAACATGGACAGGCTGGGAGGCAGTTGTCCAAAGCTCCTGTCCTCAAGCCAGGAATAATGCACTGTTGCCAGCTTGGGAGCCACTATTTTAATTTTCTCGAAGTTTTCCATAAGCACAGCCCACTTTGCAAGCTTTTCCAAGCTCCTGGTGTAGCCAAATAAATATGCCACATGTTTAATTATAAGTGTCATGTAAGAATTGATGTCCTTTTTTAAAAGAAGTTAAAAAATTTTAACTTAGTTTATTTATTATTATTATTTTAATTTGACCAGAGAGGGACAAATTGAGAGAGAGAAAGTAAGAAAGCAAGTCACCAGGTCGGGGACTTGAACTATGGTTGGCCATGTGGGAGTCCAGTGCCCTTAACCACCACGCCACCTGCTGACCCCTCAATATCCTTTTTTTTAAAAGAGATTTTTGCTAAAGGGCACATGCACTTGCCAGATAAATAGAGACAGAGAGACAGAAAGCAAGAAATCACCTCCCAGAGGGGATGACCATGCTGCAATCCCTTCTCTTCTCAGGATCTGGGGCATGCATGCACACATGCCTCGTGTGAGTTTTAAGCCCCCGGGTCTAAAACTTGAACTGTGGTTGACTACATGGGAGTCCAGCAAAGTAACCATTATGCTATCTGCTGGTCCCAGAATTGGTGCTCTTTAAGGAGACAACAGGAGCAAACAGCTTACTCAGATACACAATGAGCTTTGAGAAGCAAGGATCCCAAAGTCAGGAGCCTGAAATTACAAACAGGAAAGAGCTCGGGGTCTCCATTAACCCTTGCCACCCAGCGTCCTTCCTCCTTCTCTTTCGCAGTTAGGTCTTGTGTGTCTGTGTTGAGATTAGCCTGAGTTAAACGAGAAGAGGATGGTGGCGTGTGTTTGATTTATTTTAGAACCTTGACAAACTATTTTTATGGTATTATTGGAGACTTTATATCACACCTGCTTCTGTGAGTTAACTGTAAAATGGAATAATAGTAACCCCTATTTCATAGTGTTATTAGGAAGAAAAAATAATGCATGCAGTATGTCTGGCACATGGAATGTATGGACTATGCACATTTTATATTTTTAAAAATAATTATTTAAAATTATTATCATTTTAAAATTTGCTATAGGGCATGTGCACTCACCAGAGAGAGAATATGAGAAAGCAAGTCACCAGGTCCAGGATTAGAACCACAGTCAGCCATGTGGGAGTCCAATGCCTCAACCACCATGCCACCTGCTGGTCCCAGAAATTATAACAATTTAAAGAAGTTTATTTTTTTATTTTATTTTTTTTTTTCCATGAGTGAGAGTGAGACAGAGAGACAGCACCTTTGACAGGGACTTGATGCCACAATCCTCTCTCAGCCTCAGCCAGCCCTGGATGGAGAGCTTGGCATGCTCAGGGTGGTCTCTGCTTGTGAACCCAGAACCTTCCCCTCTGGGCTCACAGAGTCATGTTATCACTCCATCACGGTCTGGCCCCATTCTGTGAATTATTACAAATTACAGAAGTTGGCTGGGTCTAGCACCTTCTAGTCTTGCCACTCCACCTGCATCAAGGTGTGTTCTACCTGGGCTGGGATTTTCGTTTAGGACTGGGATGTCACCTGCAAGGAGAGTCAGGAAAACCAGGGCATTGACATTGGAATTCCAGCTCTGCTACCCCCGCTATGTGAGCCAGGCATTTCTTCACCGCCCTACCCCCTGGTTTCCTCATCATTACAATGGATCATTCCCAGTAGAAGCAATGCATCTATTTCAAGGGGTGATTATGAGGATTCAACAAGCTAATATTTGTCAGGTGTATAGAAAAGTGTCTAGTACATTGAAAGTGTTGATTCAAATGTGTTAGAATACAAAGATGGAGAAGGATACAGCTGGGCGCCCCTGTGGGCGGGGAGAGGGCCGTGCTATGTTGCAGTGAGGATGGCATCTGGAGGTGAGGCTGTGAAGAATAAGTCTTAGCACTTCTTCTATTAATAGAAGGAAAAAGCAACACCAGGTGGGCAATATTCAGAGAAGATTGCTAGGACAATGGTGATGCACCAGCTGCCGAATTTCTCACGCCCTACAAAACTTAAGCAATGAGATGGGGGCTGATTAGACCAGACGGTGTCGATATAAATTGATAAGCAGAAACTCAAGATTGGATTACCAAAAGAGCTCTTAAGGCCCTGTTTGATTTATTGCGAGGTTAATTCCATGAGCATTGGCAAAATGTGATTTAAGAAATTGGGGCCGGCAGGTGGCGCGGTGGTTAAGGACCCTGGACTCCCATATGGCTGACTGTGGTTTGAGTCCCAGCTTGCTTTCTCACTCTCTCTCATTCTGTCCCTCTCTGGTCAAATTAAAATAAAAAAATAAATTAAATTAAATAATGCTTAAAAAAAAGAAATGAGTAGAAGTGGTAAGACAAAAAGCAATAAAAAAGGAGAAAAACTGAGTTATTTGACTTTTCCAAAGGGATTCTTTTGGTTGTGTTTTGTGCCTGGTATTTGAAACCTTCCAGGTGTTTACTGTTTGTCAGTTAAAAATGACAACGATAATAAGTCAACTATGTTTACATAGGAACCTACTATCCCTTCCACTGAGCTTTTGAGATGTGAGGATTTTGCAATGGGAAAGTTTCAGGTAACATCCTACCTCAAAAATACAGTAACCACTGTCCTATTTTTGAATCTATGTCTTCCCTAGAATATAGAGGACACAAGCAAGCACATACCCCTGACCCAGGGTTCAAGTACCCTCCACTCACCCAGCCAAGAAGGTGGGAGATGGCACTAACATAGCCATCAGACAGAGCAGTTACGCTAAGGCCCGGGCTCTCCGTTTCCTAGCACACAGTAACACGTCTCCCTACTAACCCATCTCTTGGTTCCTGTGGCCCACGGGCTGTGGTCTGGGGCTGTTGGTGGCAGAGGTTGCAGACAGGGATGGCTTTGGTAAGGCAGTGTGGGTGGCCTTGGGTGTGGTGGTAGGCAGAGCCTGCATCGGGGTGGCTGGCTGAGCTGTTGTCCCTGGAACAGACGGCTTCTGATAGACTTTTGTGGTCTCACCTGTAAAAAAATGGAATTACACTGGGGGGCTTCCACGTAGCTTGGAGGCTCTTACAGGACCAGAAGTAAATGAAATATTATTGAACACTAGCTCTGAGCAAAGCTTTGTGCTGGCTGCTGCAGACGGTGAGATCTAGATGGATAGCCTACAATTCCTACCTAAAGGAATGTACGCTCTCAAGGCAATAATCCAATAAACCAACCAAAGATTAAAAAATAAACTATTGAAAGAGGGTTCAGAACTATGGTACAGTAGACAGACAGAGCATGATGAATTGCCAAATTAATTTTCCAGGCACCACGAGCAATGGTTCATGTACATATTCATACATTTCTTTCTGCTTCAATTATTAGCTCATCAGGAAAATCATAACAGTTTTCAATGCAAACATGCGACATGACTTTTCTGACGACCCAATACTTTGGTTCATGAATAGGGCATATTTTCAGGACTTTTACTATGACTTATTTTGAGAGAATGTATTTTCAATTCTTTTCTTTTTTCTTTTTTTAAGAATTATTTCTTTATTTAATTCCATTTGTTATTATTATTATTGATTTGACCAGAGAGAGACAGAAAGGGAGAGAAAGGAAAAGCGAGAAACCAAGCCAATAAGTCCTAGACTCAAACTGCGGTCAGCCATGTGGGAATCCAACACCTTTAACCACCATGCCACCTGCTGGCCCCGGGGAAGAATGCATTCTATGTCTTCTAGTTTAGGTTGGTTCATGACGTCAGTTCTGGGCTCTGGTTTCTTCATCTATGAAATGAGGTAATGGAATTTTAATTTTTTTTGGAGAGGTTTTTTGTTATAGGGTCCGTGTGCTCACCAAAAAGATGGAGAGAGAAAGACAGAAAGCGAGAAATCGCCCCCCCGGGGGGATGGTCACGCCGCAATCCCTTCTCCTCCAGTCTCCTCTCAGGATCTTGGGCACGCACGCACACACGCCCGGCGTGAGTTTAAGCCACCGGGTCTGGGACTCAAACTGCAGTTGACTACAGGGGAGTCCAGTGACATAGCCATTACACCAACTGCTGGTCCTGAGGTAATGGAATTAGCCAGAGGGTAAGGTTCATCTAGAGTCTACTTCTAACGTGCGCTCTTCATCCATGTGGGATGACTTAAATTGCTTCCAAGCTTTACACACTGCTGGAGTTGCCTCCTTGTAAGCGAATCTCACTTTGTTAGTGCTCCGGGCGCCCTGAGACAATCTCTGAAGGTTTAGAACTAGGAGACAAATGACGAGCCATGTGTGTTGGCGATTGTTTTAAGAACTGTGGGTTTGGGCCAGAGGGAGACACACAATGGCCCCGAAAGTAAACAGCACCTCAGTCCTGGGAGGTAACAACAACCCACGGTGGCATGTGCTTGCTGGCCCCATGGAGATGTGCCGCTTTGGTAGATGTGCCTCGGTTCTCATTCCAGGGGCTGCTCACACATTACTACAAATTGGGTGGCTTAAGACACAGCAGAAAGCTCTTCTCTCACAGTTCTGGCAGCCACAGTTCCAAAGCAAGTACCACTGGCCCAAACTCGAGCTGTCAGCGGCTCTGAGCTGCCTAGGAGGCTCTAGGGTAGAATCTTGCCTCTTCCTATTCCAGCTGCTGGCATTTCTTTGGCTTATGGCCATGGCACTACAGTCTTCAAGGCCAGCATCCTCAATGCTTTCTCCCTTCATCTTCATGCAACTTCCTCTACGTATGTAAAATAATCTCCCTGGGCCTGCCTGTTTATTTAAAATTGCTTTTTCAGTTTTGCTATAAGGCATGTGCACTCACCAGAGAGAAACCAATAGAGAGGGAAAGTGAGAAATCACCCCCGGGGGGGATGGCTACACTATAATCCTGTCTTCATTTTCCTCTTGGGATTTTGGGTATGCATGGACATGTGACTGACCTAATTTTTTCTTTCTTTCTCTTCTTCTTTCTTTTTCTTTTCTTTCTTTCTTTCTTTCTTTCTTTCTTTCTTTCTTTCTTTCTTTCTTTCTTTCTTCCTTCCTTCCTTCCTTCCTTCCTTCCTTTCTTTCTTTCTTTCTTTCTTTCTTTCTTCTTTCTTTAAAGAGGGATTTTTGCTGTAGGGCATGTACACTTGCTGGAGAGGCAGAAAGCAAGAAATCACCCCCTGAGGGGATGACCACACCTCACACCTTCTCCTCCATTCTCCTCTTGGGATTTTGGGCACACATCTACCCATGCCTGGTGTAAGTTTGAAGCCACCAGATCTGGGACTAGAACTGCAGTCGGCCATGTGAGAGTCCAGTGATGTAACCATTATGCCATCTGCTGGTCCCAGCCTAATTTTCAATCCACTGGGTCCAAGACTTGAACCACACAGTTGGACATGTGGGATCTGGCCACCTTAGCCTCCACACTACCTGCTGGCCCTGCCTCTCCATTTATAAGGATGCATTTGATTGCATTTAGAGCCCACCCAGATAATTCAGGATAATCTCTCCATCTCAAAATCCTTAATCACATTAGCAAAGCTTCCCCCTCCAACACACACATACACCTTGTTTGTCATACGAGGAGGAAACATTCAGAAATAGAGATTAGGTTGTAGGTATGGTTTAGGGGTGCTTTTCAGACTACCACAGCATCTCAACTTGAGCCTTAACTCTGCTTCCAGTCAATGTATTTTGGGTAGACGGAGCAGCAGGCCAAGGAGGCAGCATCTGAGATAACATCTGAGATAAAAAGTCACTTTTCCCGGGAACCAGCAGTTAGCATAATGGCTATGTCGCTGGACTCCCACGTAGTCGACCGCGGTTCGCGTCCTGGACCCGGTGGCTTAAAACTCATGCCGGGCATGTGTGCATGCGTGCCCAAGATCCCGAGAGGAGAATGGAGGAGAAGGGATTGCGGCGTGGCCATTCCTCCTGGGGGGGGATTCCTCCCGCTCTGTCTCTCTGTTTTTGTCTGTCTGGCGAGCACACGCACCCTATAGTGAAACCTCTCCCCAAAACAAACAAACAAACAAAGTCACTTTTCCCTTCATGGGGATCACACAAGTTCCTCAGCATCCTGGGTAAACAGTGTCAGAACTGGGATCAACAGGTGGCATGATAGTAAAGGCACTGGACTCTCACATGGCCGACCATGGTTTGAGTCCTGCACCTGGCAGCTTGCTTTCTCATTTTCTCTCTCTCTCCAATGAGCACATGTGCCCTATAGCAACTTAAAATAAATAAATAAAATAAAATAAAATAAAAATCTTTAGGGGCCAGTAGGTGACATAGTGGTTCAGGTGCTAGACTCTCACATTACCAATTGTGGTTTAAGTCCTGGACCGGGAAACTTGCTTTCTCACTTTCCCTCTCTCTCCCTTTTTCTTTCTCTGGCTAAATTTTAAAAAGAATATTAAATTAAATTCATAATTAAAAAGAATTAAATAAATCTTTGAAAAAATAATGTCAGGATGACCATCCTGGTCTGGCCATGCAAACACATGAGAGTGGGTGTTCAGAGCCACTGCCCAGCACTGGCACCACCCTACCCCTGTCACTGTCTGCAGGAATCACAGCAGTGACTTGGGAGAGCAAAGCAGCTAATAGCGACCCTGGATCTGGGTTGGAGCTCATTCAGTCTGCTCTTTCAAGCACTAGCCAGTCAAGGCAGGGAGCAGATCCCTCATTTACCCTGTTTCTTGCTGACCATTGGTCACCTTAAATCTGCCTGTAAATCGTGCCAGAGAAATCACGACAGAGCTGGCAGCAGCCTTGGTGGTCCAACCAGTCTTTGCACCATCCCCGGGCCAAACCGAACCTGCCTGGTTCATGACATTTCCGTTACTTTCAAGGGGTAGAGCTCCTTAACAAGCCCTAGGGAAGTTTCTAATTCCTCCAGAGGGCTTCCCTGTCTTAGCCTCTGGCCAGTGCTCCCAGCATTAATGCCTCTGTAGGGAGATGCAGACCAGTTCGCCCTCCTTCAACTTAGGCCACTTAATAGCATCACTTGTATATTTTATCAACTAGGGTATAATTATTAATTTGGAGAGAAATTTAGATAAGCTGACAGCAAATGTTATTTGTAAATTATTAAACCATAATGGACTAAAAATAGAACTTCTACTTGCAAGTTGTGTGTGTGTTTTGCCACCTTAAACTTACTGTACATTGAAATCATGAATGATCTTTTTCTCATACCATTGGCTAATTCTGAGGCTTCTGACTACTCCCATCTGTCTTTGCTTATATTGATTTGCTGAAGAGAAATGAAATACCCGGGGTGAGGGGTAGCGTTCATATCACTTGTTGATATTGCAGATGTCTCCACGCACATCATAAACTCACCCAGCATAGCCATGGGCCTTCATCGGTGGTTGTTTTCCTTCATGAGTTAAAACTGTCTTTAAGGGCCAGCAGGTGGCAGTGGTTTAAGGTGCTGGATTCCCACATGGCTGACCAGTTTGAGTCCTGGACCTGGTGGCTTAAAAATCATGCCAGGTGCATGGGCATGCATGCCCAAAATCCCAGGAGAAGGATAGAAGAGAAAAGATTGCAGTGTGGCCATTCCCCCGGAGGGTAATTTCTCACTTTCCCTCTTCCATCTTTCTCCACCAAATAAACCCTCCATATGGCAAAAACTTAAAACAAAAACAAAAGCAGAAAACTATCTTTAAGATGGGGGAGAGAGAGAGAGAGAATCACTCTTCCTACCCCAGTTGTTCCCAGTTCCTTACTGAAGGTAATGCCCTTGATATGATCCAAGTAAATTTTATTTTTAGAGAGATTTTTTGCTATAGGGCGAGTGTGCGCACAAGAGAGACAGAGACAGAAAGACAGAAAGTGAGAAATCACCGCCCAGGGGGATGGCCACACCACAACCCCTTCTCCATCATTCTCCTCTCAGGATCTTGGGCATGCATGCACACGCCCAGCATGAGTTTTAAGCCTCCAGGTTGGGAACTTGAACTGTGGTCTGCCATGTAGGAATCCAGTGACATAACCATTATGCCATCCGCTGGTCCCTGATCTAGGTGAAATTTTCACGTGCATTT